GGCAAGTGGGATTGTTTGTTACTAAGGGATCACTCCCAACAGCCTCAGGCTGAGCACACTTCGAACCCAGTAAACACCCAGTGAGCACCCAGTGAGCTAGTGTCAGTACTGAGAATCACTGATTGCCACTCAGAAACTAGTATCCTTTGTTGACAGTCAACTAATGTCAATCACTGGCCATCCATCAGTGTCACGGGTGGTGTCAATCATTGAAAGTCCATCATTGTCAGGGAGTCAGTCACCAGTGTCTGTGTGTGGCAGTCAGTCATTTCCTGGGCACGGTGCCCACTTATTTTTCTGCTCATTTGTCCGGGCCCTTTGGGTTTGGTTTGGGTTCCGTTGAGTTTGGGGACCACACCCAGCGGTGCTCGGGACTCACTCCTGGCTCTGCACTCAGGAATTGATCCAGTGTGACTCATCAGACCATGGAGGGCGGGGAAGTCAGAGATCAAATCCGAGCCTGCTGCAATGCCAGACAAGCACCATGCCCGCTGTCCTATCTCTCTGGCCCCTGCCCAGCCCCTGTCTAGGCCTGTCCCTCCTCCCCGAGGACAGAGAGGTGACGTGGGTGCCCCCACTTGACAGACTCAACACAGAGAAACCTGCCAACTGGGTCAATCCCTCATCTTCAGCTGCCCGGACTGGACAAGGCCGAGTTCCCAGATTTTCAAGAACGGCCAGACCCAGAGCTCACCAAGGGCCTCTGTTCAGGGGTCTAAGGGAACCGGGACACTCTCAAGAGCCACTTGGTCCCCTGCAAGGCTCCTTGAACGGTCGGGCTCGCCCACGCCCGCTCCCTGCCGGGGTCAGCCAGATGTGGACGATGGCCCTTTGAGCTCAGCACTGCCCACTGCTCGCTGAGCACTGTGAGCATGCGCAGACCCAGGGCTCTCCCGCCGGAGCCAAAAACGGGTGGACAGCGGCTCCTTCCCCTGCGAGACCCCAGCCCGGGTCTAAAACTAAACTCCCTCGCGAGTATTTCTCTGCCCCCGTATTTCTCTCCCTCCCTGTGCCCCGCAGCCAGCCCGGGGTCTTCAGCGGAGAGCTCGCATCCCAGTGCGACCCTCAGCTTGCCTGCAGGAGAGCGGACCCCGCATCTCTGGGTTGGGTCTTGTCCTTCTGGAAAGGGAGTGTCCTGCAGGAAAGCTGGTGGGAAACTCGTCCCCACAGAGAGGACAAACCAGGGTCCCGATTCCCAGGCACCGCCACCCCTACTCTGCCGTCTACAAGGGTCACGTTAGGGAACTCTGTGGACCCCCACAGTCACGCAGAAGGGGGTCACACTGAGGACCCCACACTTGAGGGAAGGCTCTGTTGTCACTGCCTTAAATTGTTGGATCCAGGGCTGGAGCAATAGCACAGCGGGTAGGGCGTTTGCCTTGCACGCAGCCAACCTGGGTTCATTCCCAGCATCCCATATGGTCCCCTGAGCACCGCCAAGAGTCATTCCTGAGTGCAGAGCCAGGAGTAACCCCTGTGCATAGCCAGGTGTGACCCACAAAAGCAAAAAAAATTGTTGGATTCCTTTTGAACCAGGAGGACTGTGTCTTTATGGCACATAGCACCCCACAAACTGTATGCCTGGTCCTGGCTCCAAGCATCCTCTTGTGGGACGCTGGAATTCTGTGATTCCAGCTAATTGCCTTCTACAGAGCTGTGGTGCTTGTCTTCCCCATTCTTTCCAGGGGGGCCAGGAGCTGTCCCCCACACCAGTGAGCCATAGTCAGCTCCTCTCCCCCCGCTGAGTCCTTGGGCACGGCAGGCTGTGATGCAAAGACAAAATGCAGCAAACATTGCAGAGAACCAACAATGCAGAGAACCAACCTGATGTGGAGGAAGAGCTGGCAGGGGAATTATCCGCAGCTGGATACGGGAGTGGGGAGAGTTTATTTGTGGCAGGCGGTAACAGCGAGAGGACCTGAGACCTCCTTCACTGGCCCAGGTTTTGTGTCACCGAGACATACCACGATTCCGGAAGATTCCAAAGGGTATTTATAGTTGAAACTCTGTTTTTCCACTCAAACGTGTGTGTGCCTGTTTTAACCACAGTGAGCCAATTAAAATAGCTTTACAGCTTACTGAAACTCAAACTGGTCCTCAAAAGGATTAAACACCTATACCTGGGAACCCATGCAACTCACCCACACCAGCAGATTCAACAGACAAAAGTAGCTCCAACATAAGGCTTGTCTGGTTAAAGACAAACAGAAACCCAAGAAGAAGCAACTTATCTAGAATTGGCATGATGGCATTCTTTAGAAAGGAGGTCCCCAAATAATAAGGTACAATTGTAGGGAGGGGGACAGTTTGCTCTTTAGAAAAGAGAAGTGAGTGGTTGGAGAGATAATACAGCACATAGGCACTTGCCTTGCACACAACCAACTGAGGTTCGATCCCCAGAATCATATATGGTCTCCCAAGTACATTAAGAATGACCCCTGAGCACAAAGCCAGCAGAGAGCACTGGAACAGTCAGGTGTGATCCCCCCAAAAAAAGTGAGGGAGGAAGAGAGCAAGAGAGAGACAGAGAGACAGAGACAGAGAGAGAAAGAGAGAGAGAGCTGAAACTATGCTAAGAATCCAGTCCAAGGTTGGGGAAGGATCGCTCAAAGTACTGTGCACACGTTTTGCAAGCAAAAAGTCCAGGTGCTGTCACTGGACAAGCCGGGGTGACCCACCTGGGGAGACAAAAGTAGGTCCTAAACACCCAGGATGAGATAAAAACAAATAATAACTAAAGAAAAAAAACACATCTGGTTCAAAGGGAAATGGGGATCCACGGGAAGTACCCCATCTCCAAGCCTTCAGTGACTTCATGAGCAGGATGTAGAGGGCCGGCAGAGCCCTGGGCTGTGGTAATAACACACACAGCACTGAACACACGAAGAAGCCTCCACAGACATTTTATATATATATATATGTATGTATATATATATATATATATATATACACATATATATATGGCTGGAGAGATAGCACAGCGGTAGGGCGTTTGCCTTGCACGCAGCCAACATGGCCAACCCGAGTTCAATTCCTCCACCCCTCTCGGAGAGCCCGGCAAGCTACCAAGAGTATCTTGCCCGCACGGCAGAGCCTGGCAAGCTCCCCGTGACGTATTCGATATGCCAAATACAGTAACAACAAAGTCTCCAATGGAGACGTTACTGGGCCCACTTGAGCAAATCTATGAACAACGGGAGGACAGTGACAGTGATATATATATATATATTAGGAGCTGGAACGATAGCACAGCGGGTAGGGAATTTGCCTTGCACACAGCCGACCGGGGTTCGGTTCCTCCGTCCCTCTCGGAGAGCCTGGCAAGCTACTGAGAGTATCGCACACGCATGGCAGAGCCAGGCAAGCTCCCCGTGGCATATTTGATATGCCAAAAGTAGTAGCAACAAGTCTCACAATTATGTGACTAATACCCAAAGACAGTAGAAACATGGGCCAGGAGAATTGGTCCATAGTTGGAAGCCGGCCTCAAGTGCTGGGGGAGAGGGCAGTTGAAATAGAGAAGGGACCACTATGGCAATAATAGTTGGAAATGATCGCTCTGGGTGTACTGAAAGTAGCTAAAGGAACAATCATGATAACCTCTTAGTGTCTGTATTGCAAACCATAATGCCCCAAAGGAGGGAGGGAGGGAGGGAGGGAGGGAGGGAGGGAGGGAGGGAGGGAGGGAGGGAAGGAGGGAGGGAGTGAGTGAGACAGAGACAGAGAGAGGCATCTGCCTAAGAGTCAGGCTGGGGGTGTTGGGGGTGGCAGGAGGGAAACTGGGTCATTGGTGGTGGGAAATGTACACTGGTGGAGGGATGGGTGTTGGAATACTGTGTCACTGAAACCCAATCATGAACAGCTTAAAGGTCACTCAATATAAAAATTAAGATTAAAAATAAAAAGAAGACCCCACAGTGCTGACCAGTCTTCGGGACTTTCCGCAAAGGCAGAACCACCAATGGCCTCTCAGGAACACACCAGTCAAGACCCACAGGGCCCGACTCAGAGTGAAAGATTGGGGACAGGACGCCCCCCCCCCACCTCATCCCACCCCCCCCCCCACATGGGTAGCAGGATCCATGCTCGGGCAGCTCTGTCCCCTCTCCCCAAAGGTGGCAGGAGAGAGCAGTGGCAGCCAGTGACCACCATCTTCCAGGGCAGAGGCACAGCCCAGCATTCAAGGCTTGGTCAGTCGCAGACCATGCGGGAACTGTGATAAGAGATGCTGCGACACAGAGTATTCACGGTGTGCTAAGCGTGTGTACGCATGAACTGCATGCGAGGTGTTGTGATATTTGCACACGGGTGTGCACACAAGTGTGTGGTGTAACACTTCTTTCTGCGTGGTGTGATTTGTGCTGCAGCATTTGTGTGCTGGGTGTCTACGTGTGTGGGCTGTGATACTGGCGGGTAGCATATCGTATGGAGGGGGTGAAGGTCACAGGCCCTGGGGACAGTTTGGCCCCTGCCACACTGCCAGCACAGACACACAATTTCAAAACAGTAAGTGGAGTCCACAGGGTTCCCTTCCTGAGGTTGCCAGGTGACAAGCCCTCCGAGCGTTTAGTTAAAGCTCCATGTGATGCAATGAAATCCCATGCCGTTTGGCAAACTCTGGTCGCTCTCTGGTCCCAGGACGTTGGTGACCCTGAGATGCAGTGGATTCTGCAGGTAGGGCGAGGTTCGTTCTTAGCCTGATGGGGAAGGGGTTGCTCCGAGAGTTCCTGTTCTGCTCCCGCGTAGACCCCAAGTGCAGGTGACCGCGACAGTATCGGGCTGCTCCTGCATGAAACATCCCACCGTCCTGAAACGGCCGCACTCATCCGGAGCACAGGTCTCCTGAGCGTCGCGAGAGTCCGCACATGCTCCACGGACACCCAACCCCAGAGAGCGAGGAACCCGGCATCCCTGAGAGTCCTCAAAGGAAAGGGGTGCCCCGAGGGGGGACCAAGTGGCAAGGCAAGGGTTGGCACTTGGATCTCAGAAGGCCAGGCAGCTCAGGGCTCTTCCACGGGCGGGTCAGCCCTTGGGAGTCGCTGGATGAGGACGACGAGGCTGGGGACGTCGCTGAGCACGGGGGACAAAGCCATGGCTCGGTCCACCTGCTGCGGCGGGAAGACTCTGCAGAGCAAGGCGCGTGCCTGGGCGCGTGTGTCCACCTCGAGGGCGCCATCTCCGCAGCTCGCCTCGGCCCAGGCCGCCTTGTCCAGGAACCCCTCTGCGCCCTCCGACGGAGCCCACGGATGGACCGGCGGCCTGCGCTGGTGGGGCGCCTCGGCCGAGCTGCCCCCAACCCCGGGCTGCAGCGGGAGGGACGGGCGGGAACTGCTGCCGAGGCGGGGGAGGGTGGAGCGCGCAACTAGCGAACCGTCGGGGCACCGGGCGTTGGGCGCGCAGGCTGGAGGGTCCGCCGGATCGTCGCCGAAGGCCAGCGCTCGGGAGAGGCGACTCTCGAGGGTCGCGACGTCGGCCGCGCCCCGGGGTGGGGGCAGGCCGGGGGGCAGGCTGGGGGCACCCCGGACCTGCGCCTCCTCCGTGGCGCCCGCACCCCTCCAGGCCCGCGTTTGCGCGCGCAGCTCGTCTGCCACCGCCAACTGCGCGCGCTGCGGCCTCTCAGGGTGGTAGAACTTGCACTTGATGCCGTAGGTGCATTTCTTACCTGTGGGATGGAGAGGGCGAGGGGTGAGCGCTCTGCCTGCGGTCACCCGTCAAGGCCAGTCCGACCCCTCCAACCCAGACGTATCAGGATTGGGGTGTTCTGGGGCGCAGGGGGCATGGATGGACCCGGGGGCATGGGGCATGGATGGACCCTGTGTGGGGCACTCCCAGTGAGTCCAGCGTGGGGTCATGGATGGACCAGGGGGGAGGGGGCATGGATTGGGGTGTCCAGGGGCGCAGGGGGCATGGATGGACCCAGGGCAGGGGTCATGGATGGACCAGGGGGCATGGAGCATGGATGGACGCTGTGCGGGGCACTCCCAGTGAGTCCAGTGTTGTCCGGTCACCCAGCGGGTGAGTGGCGGTGAGGGTTCCCTGGCACCACGTCTTCAGCCTTGCTTTTTCCAAGGGACTAAGGGATAGCACCAAGCTACAGCGAGGCCCGGGAGCTCATTGCCCAGGGAGCTCATCGCGCGACCGGTGCTGCCTCAGTTTCCACCGCTGGCCACATCCCTGAGCCCTCTCCTCACAGGCTGTCCTAAGGGAGGCGACCAGATAACCTAGCCAACCTCAGGCTCCTCCTCGGAAAGGGGTCGGGAGCCACCCACAGAGTGTAACTGGCCCTGAATATCCAGATGAGGCTTAACTTCTTGCACTTCCCCACACCCAGAAAACCACCCGGATGAACGTTAAGTAACTTGAACGTTGTGAAAGTGGAAACCAAAAGCACTTGTCTCACAGGGTCTGAGATAGAAGCTTCAATTGTGTTTCGCACACGCATGTGTGTGTGTGTGTGTGTGTGTGTGTGTGTGTGTGTGTGGCTGTGTTGGGGGGGTCAGAGTGTGTGTGTGTGTGTGTTTGTGTGTGTGTGGCTGTGTTGGGGGGGTCAGAGTGTGTGTGTGTGTGTGTGTGTATGTGTGTCTGTGTCTGTGTTGGGGGGGGGGGGGTGTCAGAGCTCAGAATTAACTCCATCTCTGTATTCAGGGATCACTCCCGGCAGAGTTCAGCAGACCATATGCGATGCCAGGGATCAAATCTGGGTCGCCCACTGGCAGGGCAGTGCCATCCCGCTACACACTCTCTGGGGTTCAGAATCCTTCACTCTCCATGGAGGAGTAGAGCAGTCTGGCTCCTGTCCCCAGTAGGGGCGGGGGACAATGCAGATACAGGGTACCAGGAGAGAGGCCTAAGAAAGCAGAGCTTGAGTGTGCAAACCTCCCAGCTTTCCCCAAGGAAAGGGGTCCTTCCTCTGTGCTTCTTCAGGGGTCTGTTCCTGCGTTTCAGTTTCTGGCTGTCAGTTTCCCAAAGTCAGGTTCCGGTGTCACGTTGGGGATGCCAGTTACTGGGAGGGCGGAAACCACTGGCAAGAGCTTTTGCTGCATTCCCAGGGACGCCCGCTGGCCAGGGCAGAGCCCAGACTGCGGCCACTGACCACTCACCGTAGGGGCAGTGCTGCCAGGATGGCTCAGGGGGCTTCGGCTTCCGGCTCAGGAAATTGCTCAAGGTGGGGCCCCTGCGGCCCAGGGGGTCGTCGGGAGGCATGAACCTGGGAAACAAGCCTAGTGGTCAGGGACGGGAGCAGGGACTGCAGGGACTGTAGGGGCGAGAACTGTCACTGTACGGGGGAGGGTGTCAGTGGCGCCGCAGTGTCTGAGCTCATTGTCCAGAGCGCTGCCCTGCAACACACACACACATACCACACACGCACCACACACACCACACACACCACACACCACACACATCACACACACTACACACACCACACCACACACATTACACATACTATACACACACCACACCACACACACCACACACCACACATACACACCACACCACACACCACACATACACACCACACCACACACCACACACATCACACACACCACATACACCACACACATCACACACACCACATACACCACCCCACACACATACACACCACACATACACACCACACCACACATACCACACACATACACACCACACACACCACACACCACATAATACACACATCACACACCACATACTATGCACACACCACACACACCACACACACCACACAAACACACCTCACATCACACAACACACACACCACACATACCACACACACCACACACACCATTCACTCACTACATACACACACACACTACACGCACACACACACCACACACCACACACACCACCACCACCACACAAACAGGATTGTCAGCATTGGGGGGGGGCCACATGTGGAAGTGCTCGGGGGCTCTTCCTGGCTCTGTGCTCAATGTTAGGGAACCAGAAATGCGCTTGGCTGGACGCAAGGCGAGCGCCTTAACCCCCGTTCTAACTCTCGGGCCCTGTCAGAGCCTGGTCCAGCCTCTCAGCCTCCTCACGACCCAGACAGAGCTGCCCCTCCACCTGCAGAGTTGAAACAGCTTCACAGATTCATCCGCAACCTCTTAATTATTTTTTTAATTAAAGCACCATGATGTACAAAGTTGTTCGTGGTTGAGTTTCAGATATTGCAGCACCTAATCCACCACCAGATTAAGCCTCCTCCCTCAATGTCCCACACTCCCTGCCCTCCCTCGCCCAGCCCCAGCCGGCCCTCCTGACTGGCACCTTTCTCAGCCACTCTTAAAACTACAGGTTCCAGGCCAGAGTACAGGTGTACTTGCCCTGCATGCAGCAGATAAGGTGTGCTTGCCTTGCATGTAGCCGACCAGGGTTCAATCCCTGGCATCTCATATGGCCTCTGAACCATGCCAGGAGTGATCCCTGAGCACCACTGGGTTTTGTTTTGGCCCCCAAACAAAACAAAAATGCACAGGTTTCAGGTCAGAGATGTGTCCCAGTGGCCTTGCATACATGAGGTCCTGAGTTTGATTCCAGTTGCAAAATGTTTAGTACAGCAGGTAGAGAATTTGCCTTGCACACACACAAAACCAATCCGGGTTCTATTCCCGGTATCCCATATGGTCCCCTGAGCACCACCAGGAGTAACTCCTAAGTTCAGAACCAGGAGTAATCCCTGAGCATTGCCAAGTTTGTGCCCCCTCCCCCCCAAAAAAAATGAAAGAAAGAAAGGAATATTTTTTGTGCAGGCTCTGACTTCAGAGGGTCATGCAGGGGTGATTTTTGGCATATCCTGGCATAGGGCCACTGTCCTCACCCAGGGCAGGCCAGGCTCTGTCCCTGGTAGCCTGAGACTTTCGAGAAATCCCTCCTGGTTTGGAGCACCCAAAGGGCTTGGCCCAAGTCCTGAGCTGTCACCAGGCCAGAGACATTCTTGATAAGTGGACCTCAGGGAGTGCTTTCTGGAACCTTCTGCTATAACTGGCCAGATTCCCCTGAGCTGTCTGGAGGGAGCTGCTGGCCTTGAGTTTGCAGAAATGACCCCAGAGGCTGCTGTGCCTTATGCCTGGGGCTGAGGCAGACGCTGCCAGCGCCCCCCCACACCCGCTGGGAAGTAGGAGGAAATGGAACGCGACAGCAAGGCTCCCAGGCACAGGCATGCAGAGTTCGCACAACCAGGAGGGTCGCGGGGGGCAAGGGCTGGAGCTCAGGGCCTCAAACGTGCGAGGCATTTGCACCACCCTGGTTGGAAATTCTTTGTCAAAAATTCATTAAATTTTTTAAATTTGTTGGTAAAATGATATACCTGATAACCTTCCAGTAGCTGTATTGCAAACCATATGGCCCAAAAGGGGACACAGAGGGAGAGAGAGAGAGACAGACAGACAGACACACAGAGACACAGAGACACAGAGACACAGAGACAGAGACAGAGAGACAGAGACAGAGAGAGACAGATAGACAGACAGATAAAGGCAGAGACAGAGATGGAGACAGAGACAGAGAGACAGAGAGAGAAGAAAATTGTCTGCCACAGAGGCAGGCGGAAGGGAGAGGAGAGGCAGCAGGAGGGAAACTGAGGACATCGAGGGTGGTAAATGTACACTGGTGAAGGGACGGGTGTTGGAACTTGATATGACTGAAACCCAATCACGAACAACTTTGTGACTTTATATCTCACTGTGATTCCATTAAAAAAATAAATCAATTTTTAAAAATTTTAAGTTATTTGACTTCTTTTAATTCATTTTATTGTATCTATTTCTATTTTTTAATAGAAAAAAAAAGCCCACACCTAGAGGTACTCAGGGGACCACATGCAGTGCCAGGATTTGAACTGGGGTCAGCCCTGTGCAGGGCAAAGTGCCTTAACCCCTGTACTCTCTCTGACCCAGCTCTTCTCGTTAAAAATAGAAACAAAACAATAAAAGAGTAAAAATATATTAGCATTTTGAAGAGACTTTTCTGAGAATTACTGGGCTATGTTTGTAATGCAGATGTACTTCGGGAGTATGTAAAATAATCTTTTTAATAAAAAATAGTAGGCATTTAAAATTTAATACTAACTCTGGGGAAAGGGACCATGGTGTAGAACATAGTTTATCTTTGGATTCAACGCATATCTTTGGTTTTGCAGAGTAGCTTGTATTTTCAGCATTTTCTACATAATATGGTAAAATGTAGAACAATTGCAATGCATCAATAAAATGGGTAAATTTTCTGGAAAAAAATTTCACACAGCAAGACCCTAATTCAAATTCTGACATCACCTATGGTCCCCCAAGCCCTGCAGGAGCCTGGAGCACAGAGCCAGGAGTGAGCCCTGAGCACAGAGCCAGGAGTGAACCTTGAGCACAGAGCTAGGAGTGAGCCCTGATCACAGAGCCAGGAGTGAGCCCTGAGCACAGAGCCAGGAGTAAGCCCTGAGCACTACCTAGATGAGGCCCAAGCTCTCTCCCCTCCCCCTAAAATAAAATTTAAAAGTAGGCCCGAGCTGTGATTTTGTGATATAGCACTTGCCTTGCTATGTGAGGCCCATAAATTCAATCCCCACATTGCAAGATTTAAAAAATAAATAAATAAAAGATCAGTCAAGCAAGTCTGTGGCACCCCGAGCTCATGCTTGGTTCCAAGCACGTGTGAGCTAGATATGGGCAAGCAGACAGAAAGGCTAGAGCCAGCTGTGACGAAACAGTCCAGCGAGGGGGGACCGGGAGAGTCCAGCGGGCAGGGCGCTTGCTTTGCACGCGACAGACCCAGGTTCCCCCCCGCCCCCCCCCCCCCCCCCCGGGCATCCCATACGGTCCCCGCAGCACTGCCAGACGCGAGTCCTGGGTCTCTGCTTCCTGACCACAGCCCCCTCCCGGACCCTGACCCTGACCCTGACCCTCCCTCCCAGTGCCAGGTAGCCCCCCACCACCGCTCCCCAGCTGTACCGGTCATTGACGAAGGAGAACATGAGCAGCCGCTGCTCGATGAACCACTTCCACTCGGGGTTCTCGCTCTGCAGGTCTCGGTAGTTGTCGTTGGAGACGATGACCCCGTCCTGCTCGTAGGCCACCTTCACGATGTAGCGGTCGTCGTAGCAGACCACGCGCTTGCCGTTGACCTTGCGGGACGGGGTGTACACCAGCACCCCCTGCCTCTCCAGCTCCTCCAACACGTGCTGCTCTGGGGGGTTGGGGGCGCAGGCAGGGGAGATGGCATGAGGCGGCTGGTCCAGACGCCCTGCCCCGCAGAACCCTCCTAAAGCACGAGTGGACACTCCGCATCCTCGCGGCCCTAGCTGCGGAAATTCCCGTCGCCATCAGCAGGGGGCGCTCAGGAGGCGCTAGCGACGCCCAAAGGTGGAGAGGGCCTTAGGCTTCCTAATACGATACTTTATAAATTTCCACATAAAAATTGATTTTTTTTAACACTTAGTGATTTTATAATATTGGAACTTTGTTCTCTAATCAGTTTCAACTTTATAAACAACAGCTCAGGAACTTCATAGACTCAAAACCAAACTTAAAAAAAGGACTAGGGGCTGGAGAGATAGCACAGCAGGTAGGGCGTTTGCTTTGCACACGGCCAACCCGGGTTCGATTCCCAGTATCCCATATGGTCCCTTGAGCACCGCCAGGAGTAACTCCTGAGTTCAGAGCCAGGAGTAACCCCTATGCATCGCCAAGTGTGACCCAAAAAGAAAAAAAAATGAAGAAATTTTAAAAAGGACTAAAGGGGCTACTAGCAGACAAGAAAAACCCCTACAAGCACAACAAACCCCAACAGAAAGATGCCACAAAACCCCATGACAATAGTCTCTCTCAATGTCAATGATCTAAATGCACCAATTAAGAGACACGAAGTGGCAAAATGGATTCAGAAACTGAACCCAACATTTCGCTGCCTACCAAGAAATGTGAAGTGGAACAAGAAAAGCCTCTTTAACAAATGGTGCTGGCAAAACTGGTCAGCTACATGAAAAAACATGGGCTCAGACCTCTGGATTAAAGACCTCAACTTCACAGACCGGAATCCATAAGGTACAATGAAGACAAGGTCGGCAAAACCCTCCACAACATTGAAGCTAAAGATATCTTCAAAGATGACTCGCCACTGACCAGGCAAGTGGAAACAGAGATAAACAAATGGGACTATCTTAAATTAAGAAGCTTCTGTACTCAAAAGAAATAGTGACCAGAATACAAAGACAATCTACGGAATGAAAAAGGATATTCACCCAATATCCATCTGATAGAGGGTTGATATCAAGGATATACAAGGCACTGGTCGAACTCCACAAGAAGAAAACATCCAACCCCATAAGAAAACGGGGCATTGAAATGAACAGAAACTTTCTCAAAGAAGAAATCCAAATGGCTAAAAGACACATGAGAAAATGCTCTACATCACTAATCATATAGGAGATGCGGATCAAAACAACAATGAGATATCATCTCACAACACAGACAGAGACTGGTCCACATCCAAAAAAACAAAAGCAACAAGTGCTGGCATGGATGTGGGGGAAAAGGGACTCTACTTCACTGCTGGGGGGAAATGCTGGCTGGTTCAGCCCTTTTGGAAAACAGTATGGACGTTTCTCAAAAAATTAGAAATCAAGCTCCCATTTGACCCAGCAATACCACTTCTGGAAATATACCCCAGGGATGCAAAAATGACATCTTTACTCATATTTTCATTGCAGCAGTGTTTACAATAGCCAGAATCTGGGAAAAACCCAAATGCCCAAGAACAGATGACTGGCTAAAGAAACTTTGGTACATCTACACAATGGAATACTATGCAGCTGTTAGGAGAGATGAGGTCGTGAAATTTGCTTATAAGTGGATAGACATGGAGAGTATCATGCTATGTGAAATAAGTCAGAAAGAGAGGGACAGATATAGAAGGACGGCATTCATTTGTGTAGTATAAAATAACATAACATGAGACCGACACCCAAGGACAGTAGATATAAAAATCAGGAAGATTGCTCCATAGTTGGAAGCCTGTCTCATGAGCGGGCAGAAAGAGGACAGCTGGAATAGAGAAGGGATCACTAAGAAAAATGATGGTTGGAGAAATGGGAGAGGTGTGCCAAAAGTAGATAAAGGACCAAACATGATAACCTCTCATTATCTGCATTGCAAACCATAATGCCCAAAAGTAGAGAGAGAGTATGGGGAATATTGTCTGCCATGGAGGCAGAGGGAGTGTGGGAAAGGGGGGTTATACCGGGGATATTGTGATGGGGAATGTGCACTGGTGGAGGGATGGGTGTTTGATCATTGTGTGACTGTAATTCAAACATGAAAGCTTGTAACTATATCTCACAGTGAATCAATAAAATTTTAAAAATATAAATAAATAATTTTTAAAAAATAAAGAAAAGAAAAAGACAAACTTTAAATGCATCTTTGCCTTGGGTTTTCCCTGGAGAACAAAATAAAGCATTTTTCAGGCAAAAAAAAAAAAAGAAACATTTTGCTGCCTACAGGAAACACATCTGGATAATCAGTTTCAACTTTAGACTTGTACCAACAGTTGTGGCTTTTGTCTACATTAAAATAATTTTTTCCTGCTCTTTATTTTTTTAATTTTATTTTTGTAAAGTTGTTCGCAATAATTTATTACATTCAATATTCCACTAGCTACAATATTCCAATGCCAATCCCACCACCATGACACCTTCCCACCACCATTATTTTGAATTTTCCCACCACTATCCCAAGGGCAGATCCTAAATGATTTTCTTTGAATTGCTTGTTATGAATCACTGTATCTCTGTCAACCCATTATTCATCGATTTGCTCAATGAACATCTGCATTCGTCCTAGCCCTGAGATTTTAGCAGCCTCTCCTTACTTGTCCTTCCCAACAGTGCCACACTAGAGTCTCTTTCAGGATCAAGGGAATGAGACACATCCTTGTTACTGTTTTTGGCATATCGAATATGCCACGGGAGCTTGCCAGCCTCTGCCGTGTGGGCAGGATACTCTCGGTAGCTTGCGGGTCCTCCGAGAAGGAGAACTAAATTATAAGAGGTTATGTGGTCGCATATGCGGCTGTGTGCTTCTGGGAGCTTTGTTTTATAGTCTCTGGATCTTGCCCTTTGATGGGATTTCATGGCACCAGGGGCAGTTTGTGGGTGTAACTGCCTAGCTACTGGAAAATGGGAGATCTGGGTGGAGGAGGCGAATGGAGGAGACAGAGTCTCCTGTCCACGTGCCAGGCTGTCTTCACCAGGGCCCCTCGAAGGCGGCGGGGGTTGAGTTTCCCTCCCTGCCCTGAGCAGAGCCCCGGCAGCTGAAGACCTCCCTAACCTAGCCACAGCCATGCTCAAGGCCAATCTCCACACGCTCAGATGAGCCTCACGCATGAAGGAACTGGCAGAGGGACCCAGGTGCACGGATTATTAGAATAATCTGCTAAAAATGATCCAAAAATATTACTAACATGTTGTTACAGGTTGAGTCTTGTGTACTAATTCTTTTTATTAAAATAAATTTTTTTTAATTTAAGTGGGTTTGGGGAGGCTGGAGAGATAGCACAGCAAATAGGGCACTTGCCTTGCATGTAGCCTACCCGAGTTAGGTCCCCGACATCCCATACGGTTCCCTGAGCCCACCAGAAGTGATTCCTGAGTGCAGAGCCAGGAGTAAGCCCTGAGATGGGTAATCTGGATACACCCAGAACAAACAACAACAACTAAAGAGAGAAAGAAAAGTGAGCTTGGGCAAGCAACAAACTTGGGGTTTGATAAATCTTAGGCAGCAGGTTGGAGGGAAGCAGAATGAATGGAAAAGGCTGATGCAAAAATGAGCAGTTTTCCCTGGACAGGTCCAAGCACTGGGGACAAGGGTGAGGGCCTGGGCGTGGGCAGCTCCTTTATCCCTGACCCCCACAAGGAAAGTGAAAGTAGAACAAGGACACCAGTGATTCCCAAGTCACATCATCATCACTGAGGCTGGAGTGGGCAGTCTTGCCTTCAGGGAAAGTTCTGGATGGAGAGCAAACGCTCTATCATAGAGAAATGTGTTCAACCAATCTGGCTCTTTGTTTAGTGGGAGGGGGTTATAGAATGGAGGAGGGGGCACACCCAGTGATGCTCAGGGGTTACTCCTGACTCTCCACTCAAGAATTACTCCTGGCAGTGCTCCGGGGACCATATGGGATGCTGGGGATCGAACCTGGGTCAGCTCTGTGCAAGGCAATTTACCTGATCTGGTATGCTATCGCTCCAGCCCCAGTCAACCTGGTTCTTGATTCACAGCTGGCTTAGGCTAATCAAAGAGCATCAGACAGACTTAGACTTGGGGGCTGCAAATGTCTTAAACACCACCACATTGGCTAAGGGAATTTCACCTCCATATAAACAACAACAAAAGAGCCTCAGATCTTTGGAGAAGACACTAAAGAAACAGAAATGAACTAAGAGAACTGACCTCAGCCCCCGCTCCACTCCCCAAAAATAGAACTTTAGAGAACCTTTGAAAACTGTTTGCATAGAAATAGTCACAGTGTGGCATCCAAAAGAGGAAAAATGGCATTTTATTTGAAAAACAAGAGCTCAACTTACCAAGATCCCCAGCTCAGCCCTGCTTTCATTCATCTGGCTGACCTAATGCCACCAACAAGCCAAACCCTGTTTATTCAAACCAGGTTCTGGTATGGCAGTTTTAAGCACTGTCGCCTACATAAGAATTAAAGAACCTCAAGGATCTCGGCACCCACTTTACTTGAACAAAGAGCTTGGACGGGGTATTTGGTAAAGGCATGCCTGAATACATGTCTCCCTCAGCCCCTCCATCCTAGCAGATGCAGGACGCAAAGTGTTAAAAGTTGCAAGATGGGAGTAACAGTACAGCAGGTAGGATGTTTGCTTTGCACACGGCCGACCTAGGTTCAATCCTCAACATCCCATAGGGTCCCCTGAGCACTACTAGGAGTAATTCCTGAATGCAGAGACAGAAGCAATCCTTGATCACTCACAACTGTGACCCAAAACAAAAATTAATTAAAGTTATGGGGGAATGGAACGATAGTACAGTGGGGAGGGCGTTTGCCTTGCATGTGGCCAACCTGGGTTCAATCCCAGGCATCTCATATGGTTCCCCCAGCATTGCCAGGAGTGATTTCTGAGTACAGAGCCCTGAGCATTGCCAGGTGTGACCAAAAAAGAAAAAATAAATAAATAAATAAATAAATAAAGTTATAAGACTACGCTTTGAGGGGGCTTGATTATTCCCACGAAGAGATGGGGTCATCTATTCATTCAGCACCTACTCTGACGGCCCCAGAAGTTAGGTGTGAGGTGAGGTGCAGGAAGGATGGTCAGTCACTGGCCTCGATCCTCAGGGCACTCAGTCCCCCGAAACCCACTCCTTGCTCCCCACCCAACACCACCACCCTCCTCCACGGGCGGCTCATTGTGAGGGGCTGAGCCTCACCAGCAGAGGGTTTGGACCCTGGTGCACACACCTGGCCCAGCTTACCTCTAATAGGGCTGTCGGATCTCGGGGGGCCTCTCCTCCAGGACGGGACGAAAACTTTGATGTAGGTGTGTCCTCGCTCCTTGAACCAGTCCACGGCCAGCTGGATCCCCCGGCAGGAGAAGGCTTCTTTATTCCCGTGGCTACAAGGGAAAAACAAAGACTCTTTCAAGATGCAAGAGGGATCCAAAGGTGTGGCTTTCCCTGGGAATGATGAAGTCATTACCTCGTTCATGAGAGGGATGCCCTCAGACCCGTGGGCATTTTTAAAATTCTCTGCATGAGCTGTTAGAAAAGATGAAATCATGAAATTTGCATATAGGTGGATGGACATGGAGAGTATCATGCTGACTGAAATGAGTCAGAGAGAGAGGGACAGACATCGAATGACTGCACTCATTTGTGGAGTATAAAGTAACATAATAGGAGACTGGGCTGGAGCAATAGCACAGCGGGTAGGGTGTTTGCCTTGCACGTATCCAGCCCGGCCGAGCCAGGTTCAATTCCTCCACCCCTCTTGGAGAGCCTGGCAAGCTACCCGTGACGTATTCAATATACCAAACACAGTAACAAGTCTCACAATGTTCCTGGGCCCACTCGAGCAAATTGATGAACAACAGGAGGACAGTGACAGTGACAGTGAATAGGAGACTGACACCCAAGGACAGTAGAGATAAGGGTCAGGAGGATCACTCCATGACTTGGAAGCCATTCTCATGTGCTGGGGGGAAAGGCATCTGGGATAGAGAAGGGATCACTAAGTCAATGATGGTTGGAGGGTTCCCTCAGAAGAGTAGATGTATGCTGAAAGTAGACAATGGACCAAACAAGATGGCCGCTTAGTGCCTGTATTGCAAACCATAACACCCAAAAGGAGAGAGTAAGAGGGAATGTGCCTGCCACAGAGGCAGGAGGTGGGAAGGGGATACTGGGGACATTGGTGGTGGAGAATGGGCACTGGTGGAGGGATGGGTATTCAAACATTGTATGACGGAAACTTAATCACGAAAGTTTGTGAGTCTGTAACTGTATCTCACGGTGATTCATTAAAATAATTTTTTTTAAAAAAAATTCGGCATGAGGGCTGGAGCAATAGCACAATGGGTAGGGCGTTTGCCTTGCACACGGCCAACCTGGGTTCAATTTCCAGTATCCCATATGGTCCCCTGAGCACCGCCAGGGGTAATTCTTGAGTGCAGAGCCAGGAGTAACCCCTGTGCATCACCAGATGTGACCACCCCCAAAAAAAATTCTGCATGATCTGGACAAGAACTGAATGCTGAAGGTGGGCAAAGGGACACACACGATAACCTTATAGTATCTTTAACCATAATGACCAAAGGGTTGCAGGGAGAGAGAGACAGACAGACAGAGAGAGAGAGAGAGAGAGAGAGAGAGAGAGAGAGTCTGCAGTAGAGGCAGACTGGGGGTGGGAGTGGAAGGAGGGAAAGCTGGGGGCATTGGTGGTGGGAAATGTACACTGGTAAAGGGTAAGACGTTGGGACATTGTATGACTGAAACCCAATCATAGGCAACTTTGTGACTGTTTATCTCACAGTGATTTCATTTTTAAAAAAAATTAATTAAAATTTAAAAATATATTTTGTTAATTCTTTGTACAGTAAGCAAAAACATCTTAGACTTGGTACTGAAGAGACAGTACAGTGGGGAGAGCATTTGCCTTGCACACAGCCAGTCTCGGTTCAATGTCCAGCACTGCATATGGTTCCCCAAGCACCGCCAGGCGTGATCCCTGAGCACAGAGCCAGGAGTGGGCCTAAGCACAGCTGGGTATGATCCCAAACCGAACACAAACAGTCAACTCCTAGACTCCGTGATAAATGTGGTGATTAGCAGAGCGAAGGGGATGGGCGGGGAGAGTAATAGGGTCATTTGAGTGACCCCGGCATTGTGCTGGAAGTCAGAGGCAGTGAGTTTGGTAGACACCGAAAGGTATTAAGATGCACACTCTTTACAATTGCCAGAATCTGGAAAAAAACTGAGTGCCCGAGAACAGATGACTGGTTAAAGAAACTTTGGTACATCTACACAAAGGAGTACTATGTAGCTGTTAGAAAAGACGACGTCACGGAATTTACATACAAGTGGTACTACATGGAAAGTATGTTAAGCGAAATTAATCAGAAAGACAGGGATAGGCATAGAAAGATTGCATCCTTCTGGGAAATATAAAGTAACAAAACAGGAGACCCAAGAGTGGCAGAGATTAGTACCAGGAGTTTTGCTCCATGGCTTGGAGGCCAGCCACACATTCTAGGGGAAAAGGGAGCTCAGATAGAGAGGGGAACACCAAATGAAGGTGTTGGGAGGATCCTCCCAGGATGGGAGAAGCATGCTGAAAGTAGACTATAGACCAAACATGATTGCCACTCAATGCCTCTTTTGCAAACCACAACACCCAAAAGGAGAGAGAGAACAAAAAGGAATACTCTGCCACAGAGTCAGGGTGGGATGGGGGGATGGGGGGGTGGGAGGGATACTGGAACCCATGGTGGTGGAAAATGGGCACTGGTGGAGGGATGGGTACTTACTCATTGTATAATTGAAACCCAAGCACAAAAATTTGTAAGTCTACAACTGTACCTCATGGTGTTTCACTAATAAAAATTTTAAAATAATAATAAAATAAAGTAAACTAAAGCCAGATGGCAAAAAAAAAAATTTACTCAGCAATATTGCCATCTTCCGCTCAGATAGAGAGGGAAGCACCAAATAAAGGGGGTTGGGAGGATCCTCCCAGGATGGGAGAAGCATGTTGAAAGTAGACTATAGGCCGAACATGATTGTCACTCAATGCCTCTTTTGCAAACCACAGCACCCAAAAGGAAAGAGAGAACAAAAGGGAATGCCCTGCCACAGAGGCAGGGTGGGATTGGGGGGGTGGGGGTTGGGAGGGATACTGGGATCCGTGGTGGTGGAAAATGGGCACTGGTGGAGGGATGGGTACTTAATCATTGTATAATTGAAACCCAAGCACAAAAATTTGCAAGTCTACAACTATACCTTTTGTTTTGTTACTAATAATTTTTTTTTAAAAAAAGGTATTAAGCTGCACCCCTGAGACTCCGTAGTGTTGGATATCAATGAAAAATCAACTAAACAAAGAAAAAGAAAAATCTCTGCACAAACTATATGCCCATCACGCACACAGCCAGGGACAAATATAGGCGGGGCTCAGCGTCCCAGGGATGTGCCTTCCCAACATGTCACACCAGAACCTCAAACGCCCACAGAAGCGCCACCTCAGATGGGTGAGGGTCACTGGCCCCGTTCACCCTGAAAGAGGGTCGCCAGGGAGACTGAGGTGCCCAGACTCAGGGCACCTCAGTGCCTGTGTCCACACACCCCATCAAGCACACGTCAGTGGGAAGTGTTGGTGGCGATGGTGCTGGCAGGTCTGGCATTGTCATCAGTGATGGGGTCGGTGCTGGGCTGACATCCCCAAGGCGTGCGCCCGGGTCCTGAGCCAAAGCGTCTTCCTATTGGCCGAGAGGGCAGGCGCTGGCAGGGGCAGGACTGGCTTTTCCCCTACTCGGCACAGTGAGGCCCCGGCAAGAGCTTCCTCGCCCAAGACTGACCACAGGCCCTTGCGTTAGGCCAGCTGGGCGATCTGGGTGGTGAGACACGGGGCAAGGGTGGCTCTAAGGGCGTGCCCACACAGCTCTGCCCCGTCTCCCGGTAAAGGAGAGTTCCCCAAGATTCGGGGAGCAGCTAGAGAGGGCGGGTCGGACCTGGGGGGCCCGGAAAGGATAGGCATTGCGGGGGTGCCGTTAGCTGAGAGGTGCTACCACTGCTCGGAGCCACCCGGGCCACACGCTGCTGGGCTCAGGGTGCCCCAGGGGCAGAGCAGAGCTGAAACCTCCCTGTAACTGAGGACAGAACAGCGGGAAAGAGAGAGAGGATGCCCTGAGGTCATGGTGACACAGCCTTCGGGGAGGAGGGGGCTGGAGGGGAGCAGGGAGCATGCAGGGAGGGGGAGCACATGGGGAGGAGAGAGCACCCCGGGAGGGGATAGTACACGGAGAGGAGGGAGCACCCCAAGAGGGGCAGGACACCTGGAAGAGGAAGCACCCAGAGAAGGGGGCACACGAGAGGAGGAAGTGTGCTCAGTTCCAGTAAAAAGCATGAGATTCCCATCCAAAACCTACTTAGCATTACTCTCCTAGGTAACCTGTGACTGCTCTCTCCTAAGTACTCTGTGTCCTCTCTTTCTCCTAGGTACTCTGTGCCGGCTCTCCTAGGTACTCTGACCACTCTCCTAGGTACCCTCTGGCTCTCCTAGGTTCTCTGGGCCGGCTATCCTAGGTTCTCTGTGTCTTCTCTCTCCTAGGTACTCTGCCCACTTCCCTAGGTACTCGGTGTTTACTCTCTCCTAGGTACTCTGTGCCAACTTTCCAAGTACTCTGTGCCCAGTCCCCTAGGTACTGCTGGCCCATTCTCCTTAGTACTCTGCATTCTAGGGTGTCTCTGATTTTTTGTGCTGGGGCCTCCCAAACAGTGCTCACAAGTCCTGGACGGTCCGCCTGGTCAGTGGCTGGATGCTCAGGCAGTTCGTGGCCGACCCTCAGGCTTGCAATATTTTAGGGCGAGGTAGCGGCTGTCCTGGGGGTCGTTTGAGCTCCAGTCCCGCCTTTTCTAAGGATATTTATACCAACGTGAGGTGAGAAGGGGCCTCAGAGAGGTTAGATGACTGACTGAGACCAAGCAGGACTCTGAACCCCACTCTCTGGCCCCCAAAGCGCATCGGCACAGAGCCCCTCGCACCCAGACCCCACCTCATGGCCACGTTGCTGCCATCAATCACGATGGGTCGCAGGGAGCTGGAGGGGCCTCCTCTGTCCTCGTCCAGGTTGGCCCCCAGCCTGAGGGGGGCGCAGGCCGGGGCCCCACAGCCCCTGGGCACCAGGCGAGGCATGTCGCTGGCCTCGGGCTCCCGGGGCCGGCTGCCCGTCTGGATCAGCTCCTGCAGGACATCGTTGACCAGGGCATCCTGACCCAGCTTGTCCAGCACCCGGACCACGTCGTGGCTGCCGTAGCCCAGCTTTCTGAAGAACTCCATCTTGCTGGAACGTTCCATGCTGTGCCAGCTGGTCCCCCAGCTGCCTCCTGGCAGCGCCAGTGGGCATAGGCTGTAGAGAAAAGGCCCATCTGTGAGGCAAGGGCAGCAGTGGCGAGTGTCCCTGCCACCTTCACCGTGATTTAGCACCACTCATCACGCCACGTCCCAGCATCATGTCTTCCCCGCGAGTGCCCTCTCCTTCTCTCCATCACCGTCTCGAGGCCTCTCCCATCTACCTGGCCTCTGCCCACCCTCCATTAGCCCAGTTCTGTTGGCCAATTCCCAAGTTCTGTTGCCTTTGACCATAGTTACTGCCATACTGTGTTTCTTTATTTCACACATCTGAGAAAGATCATTCTGTGACGGTCCATCTCCTTCTGACTGCCTCCACTTGGCATGATACTCTAGTTCCATCCCCGCAGAAGCAAACCACATGATTTTGCCCTTTTTCTGTTTGATTTATTTGGGTCACACCCGACAATGCTCAGGGGTTACTCTTGGCCCTGCATGTAGGAATTACTCTTTGCGGTGCTGGGAGACCATATGGGATGCAGGGGATCAAACCTGGGCCAACCACGTGCAAGGCAAACACCCTATCTACTGTACTATCACACCAGCCCACCTGATTTTTGTCTTAGAGCCAAGTTATATCCCACTGAATCTATGCACCATAGTTTCTTCATCCGGTCATCTGGTCTTGGACGCTTGGGTTGTTTTCAGATTTGGGCTATTAGGAATAGTGATGCAGCTACATGAAATTAAGAAGCTTCTGCACCACAAAATTAATGATGCCTAAAGTAAAAGAATACCCAACAGACTTGGAGAAAATATTTGCCCACCACTCATCTGACAAGGATTTGATATCCAAGCTGTATAAAGCACTTGTAAAGCTTAACAAGAAGAGAACAATTAACCAAAATTGGGAAAAAGACATGAACAGAAATATCCTCAAGGAAAACATACAGATAATCAATAGGTATAAGAAAAGGATTCACTGCATCACCTATCAGATAAATGCAAATTAAAACAATAAGGTGTCATCTCATACCAGTAAGACACCTGCATCAAAGAAAACAAAAACAATCGGTGCTGGTGTGGATGTAGGAAAAACCCTCACCCATTGTTTGTGGGAGTGTCAACTTGTCCAATCTCTTTGGAAAAATAATATGTAGTCTCCTAAAAAAAAAACAACAGGGAATTGAAGAGCCAGAGAGATAGTACTATAGGTAAGGGACTCACCTTGCATACAGCTAACCCAAATTCTATCCCCAGCACCACATGTGGTCCCCTAAGTACCACTAGCACTGATCCTGGGCACAGAGACAGGAGTAAGCCCTGAGAACACCCGGGTATGGTCCAAAAACCAAAACCAAAACAAAACCAGAAACTAATATGACCTAGCAATTTCACTTCTTGGCCTCTACTGCAAAGACCCAAAAACACGAATTCGAAAAGACATTTGCGCTTGTGTGTTGGTGACAGCACTAGTCCCAATTCCCCCTGGGGATTTACGGTGACTCAGTGTGGGGTGCAGTTGCGTGATTCTCCTGAGCTCTCTGAGACCTGCACCCCACATCACCCTGCCATAAGGTTCACCAGCCTGAAACATGGCAGACAGTGGTCACACAGCACAAGAGAAAGTGATCCACGGGCCCCAGAAATGCCTGTGAGACTGTCGGGGCTGGATTGTACTTGGAGCTGGGGTCTTTTGAGAAGTGGTTATCAATGAGGCCATTAGAACTCATTGCAACCACTTTCCCTGGTGTCTTTCAGGGAAGAAGAAATTTGGTGGCATCAACCACCTGCAGGGGAGGGCAGGAGAAAGCCCAGGAGAATGTCATGGGCGCCCAGCCAGGAGTACTGGCTCCTCCATCCAGGGGATAACACCCACCACTCCTGAGGGACCCCATCCCCACTTGGGCTCTGGCCCAAGTTCAGCTCTGTGCAGAGACACTCATCCCCCCTCGCAATGAATCCAGACCACTCTGAACCCCTGAAACAGAACCTCCTCCCCCAGATCTGGCCCAGGCAACTCTGAGCCTTGACAGGTATTTTGTTTTGGTTTCATTTGGTTTTGGGTTTTGGGTCACACCATGCTCAGGAATCACTCCTGGTGATGCTCGGGGTAACCTGAGTCAACCATGTGCAAAGTAAGTGTACTATCCTGCTGTGCTATCGCTCTGGCCCCTTGACAGGGGGTTTTAAAAAGATGATGAAGTCAGTGAGAACACTCTGAGCAGACTGGCTCCAACTCCCTTTTCTAGTACCCAAGATCAGCACCTTTCAAAGTATTTTAAAATACAAAAAAATGGGGGCCAGAGCAAAAGCACAGCAGGTAGGGCATTTGTCTTGCACATGGCGGACCCAGGTTTGATCCCCAGCATCCCATATGGTCCCCAGAGCACCATCAAGAGTAATTCCTGAGTGCAGAGCCAGGAGTAAGCCCTGAGTATTGCTGGGTGTGGCCCAAAAATATAAACAAAATACAAAAATGATCATGAAATCATATTTTCTATGAATAGCTGAAACAAGACAGAAGTATAAAGAATAAAAAAGTATATTATCTCTTCATACCGTCTTCAAATCCAACTTGCCTCCCCTGTTAACTCCTGGTTCATATCCCTCTGGCATTATTTTTGTGCATTTAATTACATATCTAAGAGATACACCATGTATTTTTGCAGGGAGTGTCTTTGTATTGAATAAGGTCCTACTGGATGTATTGGTAAACAATTTGACTTTCTTGTTAAAAAGCTACAAGTTTAGGCAGAATCTCCTGCCCCCACGCCAGGCTGTCTTTACCAGGGCACCTTGAAGGGGAGCAGGTTGAGTTTCCCTCCTCACCCCAAGAAGAACCCCGACAGCCAAAAACCTCCAGAACCCAGCCACATCCATGCTCAAGGCCACTTTCCACATTCTTGGACGAGCCCCACCCATGAAGGAACCGGCAGAAGAACCCAGGTATTCAGGACCCGTGGCTGAGATCTCCAAGCCTGCTTGGATTGGAACTGGGCCTCCTCTATTCAGCTCCCCAGTTTTCCAGTAGCTTGGCAGTCACAACCACAAACTGCCTCCAGCATCATGTAATCTCATGAATGGCCAAGATCCATAAATTATAAAATAAAGCTCCCAGAAGAGAGCGACACAGTATTTCCTGGACCACGTGGCCGCATTTGCGGCCACATGACCTCTTATACTCTAGCCCACTGATGTACCTAAAATAGCACACATGTGTTTGGTTTTGACATACTTGCTTGTATTCTCTCATGTACAGGCTTAAATGGCTCCAGAATGAAATACAACAATCTTCACACACTTCCCTCTTACTGTGGTGGGAAGATGCTTGCTGATTGGGTGGGGGTTTGAATATTATCTGTAATGAACTACTGTGATCTACTTTATGAAAATAAAGTGTATAAAAATCGCAAAAAACTGTGCTAGTGTTCAAAATTTAAAAAAAAGGTAGAAAGTGTTTTTTTCTTCTATTCAGGAACTCTCCCAGGTTTTTGTTTATGTGATATATATATATATATATATATAGTTATGCATCTTATTAGAATCTTTTCGTGAGGTCAGCCAAGCAGTACTTCAGAGCTGGAGACCACTCCTGACTCTACTCGGTCCCCCATGTAGGCCTGGGGGTTCAGGGCTCAGGCCTGGTGGTCCTGGAGGCAAGAACTACATCCAGTGGATAAGCACACGAGAGCAGGGATGAATTCAGGGTGTTCCCAGTGCTTCCCCTTTGAGCTTCATTACCAGCTAATGAGGCTCCCCAGCCCCCAAGCCTTAGGCCACACCTTGGACAAGTGCACTAAATGCCAGGCATGCTACATGAAGGCAGGTCACCGGCTTGCAGGATGCTGGTGAGCCCCGGACATTTGCTGAGTCCACTTCAGGGAGTCTCAAAGTGTGGTTCAGGAACCCTTGGTTTGGGGACCACTAAGACCCTTTTATAGGAAGTTTGAGAAGTAATAATTATAGATATATTGGCCCAGCAGGTAGGGCGTTTTTTGCACGCGGCTAACCCAGGTTCAATTCCTAGAATCTCATATGGTCCCCCAAGCACCTCCAGGAGTAATTCCTGAGTGCAGAGCCAGGAGTAACCCCTGAGCATCACCAGGTGTGACCCAAAAAGACAAAAAAAAGAATTATAGATATAAAATACATAGATAATAATGCTAAGGTGTCCTTTGTTTTTCTCTCGCACTTCTCTCACAACTGAACAGTGAAGCATTCCAGATTATTCCATAATAATCTGGAATATTATGGCTATAGTGGGACAGATTGAATGCAAAAGCAAGTCTGAGAATCCTGCTGTCTTCTCTTCAAACAGATCTCAAAAGGTTTTTTAAAAATTATAAATCAGGACTGTGGCAATAGTACAATAGGTAGGTACCTTGCCTTGCATGTGGCTCACCCCGGTTCAGTGCCTGGCACCACATGTGGTTCCCCAAGCCCATCACTGCCAAGAGTGATGACTGAGCACAGAGTCATGCTCAGCCCTGAGCATCGACAGGTCTGGCCCAAAAACAAAAGCAAAATAGAGATTAGTATCAGTCTTCTTACTTTCTGGCTTCAGAAGATAGTTATTTTTCATTTTTAAATGCCATTATACCAACATAATTGCTTTATTAATATTTAAGAATCTTTTAAATGCCTTGATTATTTTATTCTAATAAGATGCATAACTATATATATACATATATATATATATATATATATATATATATATCTCACATAAACAAAAACCTGGGCGAGTTTCTGAATAGAAGAAAAAAACACTTTAAAGTGTTTTTATTTTGGGGTTTTTTTTGTTTGTTTTTGGTTTTTTTTTTTGCTTTGCTTTTTGGGTCACACCTGGCAATGCACAGGGGTTACTCCTGGCTCTGCGCTCAGGAATTACCCCTGGCGGTGCTCAGGGGACCATATGGGATGCTGGGAATCAAACCCGGTCGGCCGCATGCAAGGCAAACGCCCTACCCGCTGTGCTATTGCTCCAGCCCCTTAAAGTATTTTTA